ACACACACACACACACACAAAATTTTTAAATAAATTTAAAAAAGTACAAACAAGAATGAAAAGAGTGATAATATCTCAATTTATCTCCTAGTTAATTTCCATGAGAAAAATGAATGTAGATTTAATTTAATCATGTAGGAAATACACTATTCCTATTCCTTGCGAAGGTACAGGAAATAGTCTGTAGCTCTCGTTAGTGGAAATGAGAGCAGTGGACCGGAGCTACTGGTATAGACTTGAGCTGGGGCAGAGCCTTTTCACTTGGCAAGAGATGAGAGGTGCTAGGAAAAGACTGAGGGAGGAGAGGAGAGTAAGGGATGGCTGAGTCGAGTGGTGATGGGCAAAGAGAGTGGTTGTTTCACCAATCCCAAGACAGAGAGCCTCAAAAGCCGTCACTTTCTCTAGTTATGAATGAAGGCGCTTCCTCACTATCCTTTTAGGGCCTTAGTGAATTCTTCCTACTCAGCTGCTTTGTTTTATTAGCATCAATAATGATCTGCCTATTTGTGTTCCCTTTCTGCTGGTGCCACCTGTTGCTTCCAAGTTTACCGAGCCACTATAAATAGGAGGCAGACTTAGGGTTTCTCTCACTGCTCTTTTGTCTGTAAGTAGAAACAACATCTTTTAGAGCTGTATTTTTACTGCTAATTATTGTTAGAAACACAATAAAAGGCCAGGCGGCATTGGCACACGCCTTTAATCCCAGCACTAGGGAGGCAGAGCCAGGCGGATCTCTGTGAGTTTGAGGCCAGCCTGGTCTACAGAGTGAGATCCAGGACAGGCACCAAAACTACACAGAGAAGCCCTGTCTCGAAAAAAAGAAAGAAAGAAACACAATAGAAAATTTTTGTCTCCTTCTTAGGGAAAGTAAAGTACACATGTAGATGCTAACCATATTAATACTAACATGGGATTTGAATGCATGTTTTTAAAAAAATTAACCATTGGCTGGGTGTGCTGGTGCATACCTGTAGTCTCAGCACTCAGATGGCAGAGGGAGGAGGAGTAGGATTCAAAGAAACCTGGACAACATGAGATTCTGTCTCTAAAAACAGACAAAATAATAATAAGATCCATCAAAAGATAAGCTTTTTATTTTTATACTTTTAAAACTAATCTTGCCTCTTTTTAAAAAGTTACTATTTATTTGTTTCATTTTATATATATGTGCTTGAGTGTATGAATGTGTACTATGTGTGTGCAGGAGCCCTTGGAGGTCAGAAGGCATTGGGTTCCCCTGGAACTGGAGTTACAGGCAGTTGTAAACTACCATGTGGGTGCTGGGTACCAAACCCAGGTCCTCTGCAAGAGCAGCCAGTGCTCTCTTTTTGTGGGGGGGGGTGGTTTCGAGACAGGGTTTCTCCGTGTAGCTTTGCACCTTTCCTGGAACTCGCTTTATAGATCAGGCTGGCCTCGAACTCACAGAGATTCACCTGCCTCTGCCTCCTTAGTGCTGGGATTAAAGGCATGTGCCACCACTGCCCAGCCAGCCAGTGCTCTTATCCACTGAGCCATCTCTAGCCTCAAATTAAACTTGTTTTATTTTTTGAGACAGTGTCTCACTATGTAGCCCTGGCTGGCCTGAAACTTGCTATGTAGACCAAGATAGCCTTGAACTCATAGAGACACACCTGCCTCTTTAATCCCGAATGCTGGGGTTAAAGGTATGTACCACCACACCAGGCTCCAAATTAAGCTTTGTAATAGCTGAATTTAAGGCGAGTTTTTTGTTTTGTTTTGTCTTTTGTTTTTACTACTGATTTGATACTAAACATGAAGCAGCGGCTGCAGAGGGCCCAAAGAGCAAAAGCACTTGCCATCAAGTCTGTAGACCTGAGTTTGATCCCGGGAACCCACAAGATGAAAAGAAAGAACTAACTCTAATAAGTGTTCTCGGACCACCACACATGTGCCATGGTGTGCATTCACACACACACACACACACACACACACACACACACACACACACACACAGTGATAAGTGTAATAAAAATTTGCTTTAAAATGTCTGGTTTTTAAAACAGAGAGACAGTGTATGAATTTTATTCAGACCTTAAGTAGCAAGGGGGGTTTGGTTTCTCTGTTATTTTCCTTGATGCTGTTAAGCTGGAAAACGTATGGTTCTTAACTGGAATCTTCAAGGAAAGAGCAGGAGCATGACAAACTGTCGCACTGGTTCACATTTGGGTTTAGAATTGGAAGCCTTGAAGCAGCGCTTCTGGAGACATGCTAATCCAGCAGCCACTCCCAGGGCTCGTCAGACGGTGAACGTGAACATCATAGTGAAGGACTTGGGCAGTGATGGGAAGGAAGAGCTAAAGGCAGATGTGGTGCCTGTGACTTTGGCAGCTGAGAAGCTGGATGAAGCAAGCCACACAAAACCAGGTATTTGTATTTATTATTGAAGGCCCTATTGTAAAAAGTTACAGAATCCTTTTCCTTGGAGACTTGCACAGTGAGAGATGTGGGGTGGGTACTATAGCTTTATTTCTTAAAATGGCACTTACCAAGTAATAAATACTGTAGAAAAATGTATAGAGAAGCCAGGCCTGGTGGTGCACACAAGTGCACACCCCAGCATTTGGGAGGCTGAGGCAGGAGAATTACCTCTTTTACCAAGCTTACTTTTTAATCGTTTGTCTTTATATAAATAAGCATGTTGATGTTTTCTGTCATGGCCTCCTTTGTTACGTTTCCAGCACTGAGACTCAAATTCAGAGTCCCCTTGCATGCTAACCAAGTGATTTTCTACTGAGCTGCATTCCTGTTCCTTAGAGCTCCAGACTCCAGGCTTCAGGCCTCATTCTCTCCCCACCATCCTGTAAACAGTTACTTATAATTAACTGGGTGTGGACATTGTCTTCTATACTATCCTATGTTAAAATAAGTAAAAGCCAGCTGTGCAGTGGTGGTGGTGCAAGCCTTTAATCCCAACACTTGAGGCAGAGACAGGTGGGTCTTTGTGAGGCCAGCCTGATCTGCAGAGCTAGTTCCAGGACAGCCAAGGCTACACAACCCCTGTCTTGAAAACAAAAAACATAAGTAAAAGCCTTGAGTACTAAGGTCTTTGTTTTTCCTTTGGGGTGTCTAGCGTACAAATAGAGTTACTTAAATTGCATGTTTACTTATTGTATTGTGTAGTCAGTCACATCTAAAGTATACTGATTTTGTTGTTGTTGTTGTTGTTCAGGTGAAAAGCTGCAGATGCTAAAAGCTAAATTGCAGGAGGCAATGAAACTGCGAAGGTTTGAGGAGCGGCAAAAGCGCCAAGCATTATTTAAATTAGATAATGAAGATGGCTTTGAGGAGGAGGAGGAGGAGGAGGAAGAGGAAGAAATGACAGAGGAGTCTGAAGAAGATGGAGAAGAGGAGGTTGAAGAAGAGGAGGAGGATCAAGACATTCCAGAGGTTTGGGGCAATTATGTAATTTTGTTACTTGGTCATGATGTGTAAGAGAAAGTAAGAGTTAAGATTTATTTATTATGTGTAGGGATGTTTTACCTACAGTGCCTGTGGAGGCTACAATGGGACAGTGGATGCTCTGGAACTGCAGTTACAAATGGTTGTTAGCTGGCGTTGGGGACTGAAACAGAGTTCTCTGGTCGGCAGAAAGTTTGTTTTTGTTTCGATGTGTATGTATGTTTTACCTGTATGCATGTGTGTGAACCACATGTGTGCCTGGAGTATGGATGAAAATAGCTGTCTAGGCTGGGGACTTAGCTCAGTGGTAGAGAACTTGCCTAGCAAGCACAAGGCCCTGGGTTCGGTCCTCAGCTCCGGGGGAAAAAAAAGAAAATAGCTATCTAAGCCAGATGGTGGTGGTGCTCACCTTCAATCCCTGCACTCAGGAGGCAGAGGCAGGTGGATCTCTGTGAGTTCGAGGCTAGCCTTGTCTACAAAGCAAGTTCCAGAACAACCAGGACTACACAGAGAAACTGTGTCTCAAAAAAAAGGAAGAAAGAAAACAGCTGTCTTATATGTGCTCAAAGCTCAGCACATACAGTTCTGTTGGCAACATTGAGTGCCTGCAGTTTTCAGCTGTCTGTGTCCTGTTTCTACCTGTTAGTGTATGTACTTTAACATAGTGCTAACATTGAAAATAACTTACTAATAAGGACTTTTATGTTTCTCTTCGACCGATATTGAAAAGCGATCATTCTTGTTTGGGTTGAGGTCTGGAATAAGTTCTCAAGCAAGAGGTCTTCCTAAGTTAATCTCATTTCTTATTAAGAAGGACATTTATCGATGAGCCTCTGGCCCTGCTCCATAGGAGTTTTACGCCCCAGGGGAGGCAATGGTTGGTTATGTGGCTGTTAGGTATGAAAAGAGCTTTCTTGTCAGTTGAAAGACATGGTTAGTATTTAACCCTGAATAAAGAAAGAAGGCAGCGGCTGAGCTGGACAGCACGTCATAGTCTGTGGTTGACTGTGATCTTAGTCATGTTTGCTAATCTAATCTTCCTTCATAATTTTGTTTTAATTTTGGGAGTGTGAAGTCAGCTAGGCATGGTGGTGCACACCTTTAATCCCAGCACTCAGGAGGCAGAAGCAGGAGGATCTCTGAATTCCAGGCCATCCTGGTCTACAGAGCGAGTTCAATCTAGTCAGGCAGCCAGGCCCACAGAGTGAGATCCTGTCTCAAGAAACAAAACAAGGCAAAAAAACCCAAAAACCAAAGAATAAAAACAACTATAAAGAGTATCAGGGAATGACATTGCTGACAGTACTCAGACTGAACTTGTTTCAAGTTCACCTTTTTTTTTTTTTTTACATGATTGGCATAGACTACAGAATTTCTTCTTGGTAGTGAAGATACAGAAACCAAAGATGACAAAGAGACAGACAAAGAAAATACGGACGTCAGTAGTGAAATCGGCAAGTGTGTTGACCTCTCTGTTCCCAAGCCCCTCTCCTCGGATTCCACCTTACTTCTGTTTAAGGACAGCTCTTCCAAGATGGGGTAAGTTATTCGAAGGAAATACAAAATTCTTTTGGGTTTCTAAAGGCTTGTATTTTTTTAAGGGGTGTGTGTCTTTGTGTGGATATGTGCACATGAGTGCAGGTACCTGAGGAAGCCAGAAGAGGGCATTGGATCCCCCGGAGCTGGAGTGGTTGTGAGCCACCTGATGTGGGTTCTGGGAACCGATCTTGGGACCTCTGGAAGAGCAGTGCACATCTTAACCATGGGGCCGTTTCTCCAGCCCACCCTTTGGATTTCTTACAAGGGAATAAAGAGTAAGAACAGATACTCAAGCAGTTTACTATTTTATTTTATAGTTACTTTCCTACTGAAGAAAAATCGGAAACAGATGAACACTTGGGCAAGCAGTCTGGCAAACTGGGTAAGCAGTGGTTCTTACAGAAAACTTTTCTTTCTTTCTTTTTTTTTCTTTATTATTTTTTTTTTTCTAGTGACAGCACATTCTTTTGGGGGTCCCTGGGTAAGACAGGCTTTCCCTATGTGGCATTGGCTGTCCTAGAACTCTGTAGACCAGGCTGGCCTCAAACTCACAGAGATCCGCCTGCCGCTGCCTCCCGAGTGCTGGGATTAAAGGCGTGCGCCACCACCTCCCGGCCTACTGTTGTCTTTTTAACGTTGACTTATATTTCTTTTATGAGTATTAATGTTTTGCCTGCATGAATGTGTGTGACTGGTACTCACAGAGGTCAGAGGCGTTGGATCCCATGGAGCTAGAGTTACAGGTGGTTGTAAGCTGCCATGTGGGTGCTGAGAACTGAACCCAGGCCATCTGCAAGAGCAGCAAGGGCTCTTGACTGCAGAGCCATCTCTCCAGCCTCTGGGCTGCATTTTTATAGTAGACCATGGGCATGTGGTAGGTCCTGAGTGGGTGGATATATGTTGATTTGTTGATTGAGTGAAACATAATATTTCTATACATAGATCAAAGAAATGTGTGTAATTTGATAGACTAATAAAGACTGATGAAAGCCTTAGGCAGAGGAAGAGAAGGAGGAGAACTTCCAGGTATCACATAGCTCAGAGTAATGAGTCCTAATTACACAATGCTATTGTAGTAAATTAATTTACCTTCAACAGAATGATTTGGAGCCCAGAACTTAAGGGGCTTGCCGGTGAATTTTAGTTGTTTGATTCTCAGCTCTTTTTCCTAAACGAATCACCTGTTTCTGTAATCTGACCTTTAAGAGGTATTTCTCTCCTCTGTTAGATGAAGATGACTCCTGTTCACTGCTGACAAAGGAGAGCAGCCACAATAGCAGCTTTGAGCTGATTGGCTCCACAATTCCATCCTATCAGCCTTGCAACAGACAAACAGGCCGTGGGACCAGTTTTCTCCCTACAGCAGGTGGATTCAGATCCCCTTCCCCTGGGCTGTTTCGAGCCAGTTTGATCAGCTCAGCTTCTAAGGTAAGGTGGTGATAGTTTTCTAATCTCCTCCTCCTTTTACTTCCCACATTGCTAAATAAAGTGTGTCCCAGCCAACCAACTCCCACCACCTTGGTACTCAGCTTATGTGTGTTCAGCTTTAAAAATCCACCCGCTTTGTGTATTAGCAAGCGTTCTTCTTGCTTAGAGGTATTTTTCCGTGGGTTCCTTTGACTGTGCACTGTCCTCCTCAACTGTAGTTGCCTGAGAGCAGATGACATAGTGCAAGCAGCAGCTTCTGTTGTTGTCATGACACTGAATGGCATTTGTAAAATGTTTTGCTCTTGTTTTTGTTTTGGTGCCAGAGTTCAGGAAAACTGTCTGAGCCTTCACTTCCCATAGAGGATTCCCAGGATCTGTACACCGCCTCCCCAGAGCCTAAGACACTTTTCCTAGGAGCAGGAGACTTCCAGTTCTGTTTAGAAGATGACACTCAGAGCCAACTGTTGGATGCAGATGGGTAGGTAGTTTTGTGTTTCTGTGGGTGGGAATGGGGCTGGGTGCTGCTTAATTCTGTTTAAAAATAAAATGAGCTTCTGTCACTCCATCTGGGCTTTCTCTTCCGAGAAAGAGAAGGTGTGCCGACCAGTAGTCTTATATTCTACGAGTTTGAACAAAGTCTCAGAAAAGAAAATGTAAATAACCTTGCTGACATTCCGACCCTCTGATCTTATTTCAAACACATAGATATTGTAAGTGCTTTCTATGTTCATTTCTCTGTTCTGATTGTGGGGTAAGATTGGGATCTAACACCCATCCCTAGAAGCCAACCTTTGTACCTTACCTTTCGACAAAACCTCCCTACCCTCTTTCGGGTAGCATGAGGCTAACGTTTGGATCTTGTTTTCTGGGGTAAAGCACAGTGTGCTGGTCACTGTTCTCATCACTCTGACAATCAGCTCAAAGAAGGAAAGGGACTTGTGCCTTATGGTTCCAGTGGATACCATGTGTCACGGCAGGTCAGTCTCGGTGGCCGGAACAGAAGGCACCGGGCACATGGCCACCACAGTCAGGAAGAAGAAAGCAACAAATGCTTCCGTTCAGCTCCTTTTCTCTTTGTCAATCAGGCCAGGACCCCAGCCCATGAAATAGTACCGCCCACAGTCAGGCTGGGTCTCCTACCTCAGTTAACCTAATCTAAATGATCCCTTGAAGACAGGTTTGTTTCCATGGTGATTCTAAGCTCCATCAAGTTGAAATTCACAATTCACATCAACTTCTTTTTGCTTTTCTTTTTATAGTTTTTTTCAAAATTACATTTTGTTTATCCTGTGTGTGTGTACGTGTGAGCACATATGTGCCATGGCACACGTAAAAAGATCATAGGACAACTTGCTGCCGTTGGCTCCCACCACCATGTGGATCCTGGGGATTGAACTCGTATCATCAGGCTTGGCAGCAAGCACCTTTACCCACTCGGCCATCTTGCTGGTTGCGTTCAGCTTCTAACCCTAGTGTTGGAAATCAGACAGTTTTTACCTGCAGTTTTGTCTCTTCTCTGGGTAATTTCTGACACTTCATTGTGCTTGTAGATTTTTAAACATTAGAAATCACCGGAATCGATATCAAGCTTTGAAGCCTCAGTTGCCACTGGCCAGTATGGATGAGAACGCCATGGATGCCAACATGGATGAGCTGCTGGATTTGTGTACTGGACAGTTTACATCTCAGTCTGAAGAGAAATGTCCACCTCAGAAGAATAACAAAAAAGAAGACATGGAGGAACTTCTGAATCTTTGCTCAGGCAAATTTCCTTCTCAAGGTAAATATTCAGTGAAAGTTTCCGGCTTACCACAGCCAGACAGCTTACATCAGCATCCCTGAAAGGAAGCCCTTGCCCCTCAAAGTGAGTGCACAGAAAACAGGCATGTGATGGAATTCACTCTTAGTTCCCCACTTTTATAGCTCTTCCTTCCTTAGAGTGACAGTGTCAAATAAATGCTTTAGCTTTGACCCAAGTTAACCTGTATACAAAGCTTAAAACCTCATCTGGTATATAGTAAATGTTGCATGCTGGAATAGGATGTAGGCTCTGTGAGGTAATTGGGTGTTTGTTTGTTCATTACTGTCTTCCTGTGGCTTGGCACACAGAAAGTAGGAGGATTTGTTGAAAGAGTGGATAGTGAACTTTAGAACATTTTATCTAAAACCTGAACTGAGCTGGCCGGTCTTTGGATGGCCAGGGAGAGTAAGGTGTCATCTCCTTGCTCACTGATCTTTTCCTCGTTGAGGTAGACGCCTCCCCTGTGGCTCCCCTGGAGCTGGGCAAGCAGGAGAAGGAGAGCAGCACGGATGACCCAATGGAAGAGGCACTTGCTCTTTGCTCCGGCTCCTTCCCAACAGACAGGTGAGTCCCAGAGACCGGTGGGAACTGGGGAAGATAACACCCTAGGATCTGATTCTCCGGGTTCAGCGATGAACTAAATCACTCTAGGAAGGAAAATCAGAGATAGTGCCTCACATCCATTAGGATGATTACAGTTTTATATAAACAACTGGGTATCAGTGAAGGTAAGAAAAATCTCTATTTACCATTAGTGAGCTGCTAGAAAAAACAGTATTACCATCTGATCCAGCAACTCCACTTAGGTTTAAAAGAAGTGTAAGTGGTAGGTGTGGTAGCCTATAATCTCAGCACTGGGAAGACTGGGGCAGGAGGATTGTGAATTCCAGACCAGCCTGGCCTAGACATTGAAATTCTGTCTCAAAAGACAGAGAGATACACACAGACTTAAAAGTAAAAATTCAAGTGGGCAGGTGTGGTGGTATGCACCTATAACTCTAGCACTTAGGTGGTAAAGGGAGTAGGATCAGGAGTTCAAGGTCATCTTCAGCTGTATAGAGAGCTCCAGGCCAAGTGAGTGACATGGGAAAGACCTGCCTGCAAACCAGAAAGCCTGGTGTGGTGTGTGCCTGATCCAATATTCAGGAAGCAGGAGCAAGAGAATCAGAAGTTAGGGCCAGGTAAATGGCTCCATGGGTAAGGTTTCTTGTCTTCAAGCCTAAAGACCTGAGTTCAATCCCTGGTGTCTACCATGGTAGGAGAGAACTGACTCCCACAAGTTGTCCTCTGAACTCTATATATGCAGGCAATGGCATGCATGCAGTTACAGATGCACACCTGGTGCATGCACACACATTAAATAAGTAAATGTATAAATAAATGCAAAAAAGTTTAAGGCTAGCCTCAGCTACATGAATTCCTTTCTCATAAATAAATGAATAAAATAGGTTTTTATACTTTGTGTTTAATATTATTTGATAATAGCCAAAATGAAGAGGAATTGCAGTGGCCTGCCATCTTAGTTAAGGTGATTATTGCTGTGATAAACACCATGACCAAAAGCAAACTGGGGAGGAAAGGGTTTATTTGGCTCTCACTTCCACCTCGCTGTTCATCATCAAAGGAAGTCAGGACAGGAGCTCAAGTGGGCAAGATCCTGGAGGCAGGAGCTGATGCAGAGGCCATGGGGGATGTTCTATGGTTTGTTCCCTATGGCTTGCTCAGCCTGCTTTCTCAACACCCCTGCCCCACCCCCATCAATCATTCATTTAAAAAAAATGCCCCTACAGGTTTGCGCACTGCTCTATCTTACTTAGGCATTTTGTCAGCTGAGGCTCCCTCCTCTCTGGTGATTATAGCTGTGTCAAGTTGACATAAAACTGGCCAGCACATCTGCTAAATACAATTTATACACATTAAATGGCTTTAAAAAGAAGGAAATTTGTTTTTGTTGTCTGAGACTAGTTCTTCCTATGCAGCCCAGACTGGTCTGGAGTTTAGTGTTAGTTCAGGCTGACTTCAAACCAGTGATCCTTCTGCCTCATCCTCCAAGTGTGTACCACCATACCCAGCCCAATAGGAAGGGATTATGACACATGCCTCACCATGGAGGAACCAGGAAGGTATTATGCTAGGAGTAAGAACTATTTGTCATAGAAGGATAGCTACTGTATAAGTCCACTTCTGTATGGTCTTTGGAATAGGCAGTTTTATGTAGACAGGAAGTAGGGAGAGAGGGTGAAGATCTGTCTAACGAATGTAGAGTGTTTAATAACCATTTGACTTTGGAAGCTGCTTATATGAAAGTATCAACATACTTGTTTTGTTTTGTTTTTGAGATAGGGTCTCACTGTCTAGCCCTGGATGGCCTAGAACTCACTATATAGACCAGACTAGCCTCAAACTCACAGAGATCTGCCTGCTTTTAACTTCTCAGTGTTCAGATTAAAGATGGGTGCCACCACACCTAGCTCGGATGAATATACTTAAAAATAAACTGTTGGGTGTTTTTGTTTTGTTTTGTTTTGTTTGAGACAGAGTCTCACTGTACAGCTCTGAATGTCCTGGAACTCGCTTTGTAGAAAGGGCTAGCCTCACTCATAGAGCTCCTCCAGCCTCTACCCGCCAAGTGCTGACATTAAAGACATACATCACTATGCCTGAGCATGACTAGACTTTCTAATGAGCCCATCCTGGGCATCCCTATCTCTGCTTTATGAGGCTGTAATTACAGAAGGCAAAATACCTTGTTTCCTGTTTCTTAAGGAAATTACTGGTGTTGCTAAATGTCTTAAATTCTTAACTTAGCTGGCTGCTTGTAGTTCGATTTTAGTAACTTAGTGATCTGTCTTCTAGGGAGGAAGAGGGTGAAGAGGAGGAATTTGGAGACTTTCAGCTTGTTTCAAAGGAAAATGAATTTGGTAGTGATGAGGTGAGTGTGGCAGGAACACAGCCAAGCTCCACACGCTGCTTCCCTCGGGTTCCTGCTCTTACATCATCGGTGTTTGAGAATTCTGAGTTGAGCGTCTTACCAGAAGCAATGTCCTATGATGAGGCATGGGGACAGGACTTCACAAATCCTCTTGTTGCTTTTTGGTTTTGTCTCATGGTACTGGAGCTCAAACCCAGGACCACGTGCCTGTAATCTCACCACTTGGGATTATATGACAAGACCCTGTCTACAAAATAAATAAATTTAAAAAAACAGGAGAAAGAGCACACAAGCTTTTATTATATGCTCAAAGCACGACAGCATTTCCTTCCTGTGGTCCATGTTTTTATTGTGTGTGACTCTGCGTGTGTTGTTCTAACTGTGCAGGATGAACACAGTGACTCCGGTGACGAAGAGCTGGCCCTGGACCAGGAGGATGATGAAGAAGAGCTCCTAAAGCAGTCTGAGAAGATGAAAAGGCAAATGTAGGTGTTCTGTCCGTCCCTCCTCCTCCTAGACAGTTCTCCTAGGTTGTGGTATAGCTTGCTACCATTTTACATAAACTTGCTGGTTTGGTTTCTGCTTTTTGTGGTTACCGTAAGTTAAACAAATGCTTTGTGGATTCTAGGTGAATGAGACGACCTGGCGGGTAACAGTGCTTCCTGTGCAACCCTGTCTAGTTCAGTCTCGAGACCCCACAGTGGAAGAAGAAAACTGACTCTCGAGAGTTGTCCTGTGCCCTCCACCTGTGCCACGGCACACAGATGCACACGGATTAATAGTGTTTACAGATCCCTGTGTGGCCCTCCTTGAGTTCTTGAGTCCCATCTGTCCTAAATATCTCGCGTTACCTCCCAGACCCGATGAGGCTCTCAGTGGTCTACACTTGTGTCCTGGATGTCCTCTTTGTACTCGGGTATGGTCTGGCTGTTTGCTGGATGGGTACTACTATCTGTCACCCAAGGTCACAGGAGCTGAATCACTTCCTATAACTGAAGGACCTCGTGAATAACTGACATTGCCCAGAACTTTGCTTCTATGAATTGCTGTCATTCCTGGTTTTCTGGATTCTTGTCTTGGACAAATGGCCCATTTAATTTTTTTGTTACTTTGTCTTTTTTTTTTTTTTTCTGGAGCTGAGGACCTAACCCAGGGTCTTGCACTTGCTAAGCAAGCAAGGGCTCTACCGCTGAGCTAAATCCCCAACCCCCCATTTTATTTTTTTATTTTATAGTATTTGTCACTCTGGTCATGTTTTAGAGTGTTCAGAAAAACTGGATGGAAGCCGGGCATGGTGGCTCCCGCCTTTAATCCCAGCACTCAGGAGGCAGAGGCAGGTGGATCTCTGTGAGTTCAAGGTCAGCCTGGTCTACAGAGTGAGTTCCAGGACAGCCAGGGCTACACAGAGAAACCCTGTCTTAGGAAAACAAAAACAAAAACAGATGAACATATGGACTTATAGGTGGACAGCCAGACAGGTTGGAAGTGTAGCTCAATAGTCAAGCACTGCCTGGTGTGCACAAGGCTCTGGGTTTATCCTCAGCACCATAAACATGAAGGGAGGAAGGGTGAATAGGAAGGAAGAGAGGGAGGGAGGGAAAAAATAAGGCAGTTATTCATATTAATTGGCCAGAATGTATGTGAAAGTGTTGATAATGATTTCTTCATAACTTTTAATGCAAATGTTTTTACACAACTGAGATTTAAATAATTTCCCTATGTGTTTAATTTTGCATCTTGACTTTACCTCCTTGTAGCATATCCATGGTTTTTTTGGGGGTTTTGTTTTTTGAGGTAGAAGAGGTTAGTTTTTCGAGACAGGGTTTCTCCATGTAGCCTTGGCTGTCCTAGAACTCATCTATAGACCAGGATGGCCTTAAACTCAGAGACCCAACTGCCTCTGGCTGCTAAGTGCTGGGATTAAAGGTGTGTGCTGCCACTACCCAACTATAACATCACCGCTCAGCCTATAGTATTTTATGATTTTAAAGAATTTTCACAAACATAATTCTAATAAATGTTCGGTAACATATAGCACATGCATGCTTTTTGGATTCATATCCAGGATGTTGGAGATTTTTGTTGGCTGGTAGAGGTCGCAGTGTGCCATAGCCTGGCAGCTTTCTCTAATCTCGGCAATATGGAAACTTTCCTTCCCCAGCAAAGTTTCCTGCTCTCTGCCTAGCCTTATTTGGAGGATGGCCCTGGGCCTGGAGGCCTGACCTTATCTGAAAGCTCTCTCTAAACCAGACGCCCGTCTCTAAAACCAGATGCCCTGATTCATCTTTAGCTTGATCCTTGGCATAGATCCCTGCTAAGAAGACTTCTGCTATAGGACCCTACTGCCATATCTTAAGTCCTGTGATAGGAGTGTGCCACTTAATGCAAATGAGGGTTTTGCCCCCAGGGTCCCCAATCCTATGTTCCAAACTCTGGAATAAAGTTGAGCTGATTCACTGAAGTCTCTCCTGGAGGCCTCCCTCCGTGCTCATGGGCCGTGTACAAAGCTTTCTGTCGCCCCTTCTGTCTCTTTCTCCTCCAGGACTGATGGCCGACAGGCTGAGAGGGAAAGAGGATCCCCACCAGAACATCCTGTTGATCTCTGTTGGATTTATACTGTTGCTTTCAGCCTGTTGTTACATTCTCTCCCTCTCTCTCTCTTTTTTTTTTCTTCGAGACAGGGTTTCTCTGTGTAGTTTTGGTACCTGTCCTGGATCTCACTCTGTAGATCAGGTTGGCCTTGAACTCACAGAGATCCACCTGGCTCTGCCTCCTGAGTGCTGGGATTAAAGGTGTGCACCACCACTGCCCAGCCCCTTCTATCTTCTATAGTCACTGTAAGCATGTGGTACACAGACATACACTCAAGAAAAATACTCATACATATAAAATAATCCAAAAATTTAAAAGGGTTGGTTTGTTTGTTTGTTTGTTTGGTTGGTTGGTTTTTTTAAGAGTCAGAACAAGCTGGGAGCTTGTGGGCCAGCTAGCCTGGAGTATCCAATAAAGCAGCTGAAATAAAAACCCTGTCTCAACTAGGTGGAAGGCTGTAGAACGGACTCCCACAAGGTGTCCCCAGAACTCTGCGTGAAGACACACAAAAGACATTTTAAAAGTTTCCGCCTGTAGGATTATCCAAGCTGGGTTGAGTGCCACCTACTTGTGGGAACTTGAGTAAATTGATCTCTCTGTGTGTCATTAAATGATTTCTATACAGACGTCTCTAGTTCCTTCCAGAACTAGTGGCATTTTTAGTGTTATAGCTTCCATTTTCCTTGGACTTAGATATTCTCTTTCTTAACTATAAAATGGCAGAGGTAATAGTATGTGTTCCTAAGATAATAGGATAATGGTAATACCTATAAAGTACAGCTATTAGCACATAGTATAGGTTAAGTGACCAACACTTTAATATCAAAAAATTATTTGAGGTAGTATCAAAATGTATAAATTTAAGCCTATTATTGATGATTCTATGTTCTGTTTTTTATTTGATTAATTCTTTGGCTATTTAGTACATGTATATGATGCAACACATCTGCTCACATTCATTCCTCTATCCTCTCACCCCCCCACCCCCACCGCATCCTGACAGCCATCACCCCGTCCCTCCTTTACCCCACCAAGTCCATCCTACTCACATCTCTTTTTGTTTTTGCTTTGTGACTTACTGGATTTACTGAGGGCCACTCACGTGGGGCTATCCACTAGAGCATGGATAACTCATAGTGGCTTCCTGCTTTTCTTACTGTATCCACAATCTGTGTAGATGGCCATTGTCTGATTTCTAATCTTTCAAATTGCTTTCTAGGAGACTGAAGAAATACCTGGAAGATGAGGCAGAGGTGTCGGGAAGTGATGTGGGAAGTGAAGACGAGTATGACGGGGAAGAGATTGACGAATATGAAGAAGACGTCATTGATGAAGTGCTTCCTTCTGATGAGGAACTGGAGAGTCAGATCAAGAAAATACACATGTTAGTATCCCAACAAACCCAACAAGCAATAGGGCACCTCAAGGTGGCCATTTTATGAGGCAGGAAGGTACTGGTATCGAGCACCTTGTTTTTTCGGTTGTAGGAAAACCATGTTGGATGATGATAAGCGACGACTGCGTTTATACCAGGAGAGGTACCTTGCTGACGGGGATCTGCACAGCGATGGGCCTGGACGAACGAGAAAATTCCGGTGGAAACACATAGGTATCTACGTGTGTGTATTTGTCTACTTTAAGATTGTAAATGGAAATCACAACTGAACCAGAGATTAGCTCAGTTGGTAGAGTGCTTACCTAGAACACTGAGGTTCTGGGTTCGAGGCCAGCCTGGTCTACAGAGTATTTCAGGATAGTTAGGGCTACACAGAGAAACCCTGTCTCAAAATAAATAAATAAATAAATAAATAAATAAATAAATAAATAAATCAGAAAAGAGAGAGAAACTAGGCAGCCTGTAATCCCAAGATTTGGGAGGTGGAGAGAGAACAATTGGGAGTCAAGATCATCTTTAGCTCCATAACAAGTTCAATGCCACACACAAACAGAAAACATGGTAGCCATAGCTGTTTTAAAATAACCATCGATTTTCTTT